AAATTATATATAATTATATTTATAATATTTATTTTTTTTATTGTTTTATTATTAATAATATATTATTATTAATATTATTTTAAATTAATTAATAAAATAATTTCTTAATATTTAATATATTAAATATATGTTCTTAATACCATATAAATTAAATATATTTTTATTATTATATTATTATATTTCATTATTTAATTTATTCTGGAATATATTTAAATTTATTATAAATATATATATATATATAATATGTTTTTTCCTGGGATGATGTGGCCTAAGGCATCATGGTTCCATTGTGTTGATGACGTCCCATGGTGGTCATATACGCTAAAACCGATCATTGAATTCCTGTTTCAGATTCATGGCCATCTTGGAAAGATTTTGTTTCCAAACATTTGATCCACCATGTGTCGCCAGTGAGACATGTCAGGAGAATGTTGGTTCTGTGTCAGCTGCTGCCCCGGGGGATTCTGATGCTGAATGCAATAGGAAAAATATGGAAAAATGCAGCCATGCTACCAACAAAAATTAGTGACGACTTGGCTTACAAATGCAAATGCTTCACTGGAGTGGCTCAAGGGGAGTAACTATGTATACAGAAAACAATGATTTACAAAAAACAATGGTTTGTGCCAATAAATATAGGGCTTTCGTGTACATGTTTTCATGATTTAATTCTGAAAACTCTACGCCTTATGGTGGCGCTCTACTCAATTTAGGACTCCTGAAAGTTCCAGTAAAAGCAAGGTAAGTGCCTAGAAATTTAAGTCTCCAGACCTTGGATTTTGTGTTTTTGAATTGGGGTACCACAAAACCCTTGGTTTTCCTCTTTCAAAGTTACATTTTTCTTTGGAGGATATCAGAGGATTTTGTAGGATTTTGGGGTGCCCAGATGTGACCAAAGACATCTGTAGATCCAGTCACCAAGAAGACAGAGCTTGAACTCCAGATGTTTCATTTATGACACGTGTTTTCTCCAATCAGCACTGATGTAGGCATCTGTATTTATGTCAGGTCTAGATGTTTGCATACATAATCGTATGTGTGTATGTATATATATATATAGCTTTTTCTACAGTACATACATTGCCATAGCAATATTCAGACCGATGATGATAGCAGACCATGATAATGACGGAGGATGAACATAGATGACCACACGCTGTTCTGATCTGAAAACCAGGGTGCCCCAATTTTGATTCAAAGCATTTCAAAACCTGGATTCTATCAGGAATCTCCATGCCAGTTTCCACATGACATGTTTAAGAAACATACTTTCTTAGATCTCTAGTTACTTGAAATACGAAGGATGCAACATTATCAGTCCCAAACTTGACGAGACTTGCTTCCACCGATCCCGACATCTGAAGAGACCGCCGCTGACACATAGCCGCACCGCTAACTGCTACAACCATCTCAGTCAAGAAAACCTGGGGTTGTTCGCACCATGGTGCGAGCAACGTCTTGAGTTCCGAAGACACAGATCATTTGGTACCAAACAAATGAGATTTGGATAATCGTTGTACATTTCTCCTAGTAGATATGCAATACCAATCCTGGTTCAAGGTCATATATGATGCTTTCCTCTCGAAATAGTTCTATGTATCTATGTCCGCTGATTAATCGTGGTTAATCCCTGTGTAGAACTATGCACACCCAATATGACCACGTGTGTCGGATGCAGCATTGCATGGTGATAAAAAAAAATCAATCGGTCAAAATACATCTTGGCCGATTTCTGGTTTATCCCTCTATAATCCCATTATAGTCCCAGGAATTGGTGCAGGATTTCTTCCATCCAGAATTATTATCAATTCTCGGCCCTTCTTCGACTGACCCTGCACTTGACCGATCTTTACTGAGTTTAGCCTCACAACAATCATTACAATAGAATCTAGAAAGATAGAAACGTGAAATCCAGGTAAATGATGGTTAATAGTTACTTATGGTAAATTTCTGTGGATGTAGATTTAATATGATTTAATCTATAAGTTTTAGTCTCTTTTCTGTATTGTTCGATCTTGTTTGGGGTTCCTTTGCATCAATGTCTAGCTTGGACTCATGCCCTAGGCCCAATAGCCAATCTCAGGGAACATCCAACCGGCAGCCTACAGCAGCCATCAAGACAAGTCACATCGGATTTGGTCTCCAACCTCGCAGACATGGGCTGAACATGTTTCACTCGGCTCGAGTCATGATGTTTCGATACAAACATGGCCGGACACCATGGTTCCTGACCTTTTTTTCATGTGGAGATATCTAGAACAGATTTCATCCAGCGACTTAGTTCAACATTCCTCGCAGTAAAAAGCCACAATCTACATACCCTCCGGTAATTTACCAGTATCGACAATGACCCTTTTGTAGATGATTTATCATGATTTACCGTAATTAAAATTGGTGATGTTCCATACCATACCTATCAATGATTCACCTCATATAATAAATGTTGCATTTTTATGTAGTCGTCCAGTTCGCAAAAGTCTTCGTCATTCCCTTTTTGCTGGTCTCCCTCAAGGTTTACCATGACGAGATCGGCCATGCCATCGCTGAGGTATCGTTCAACGGAAAAACTTCAACATCGAAAAACATCGAAACATCGAAAATTCTTTAGCGAACTATCCTAAACATCCCCCAAGCATTCCCCAAGCATTCCCATACTATAAAAAAGTTTTTACCCACCGGCCTGCCAGGTGAGTGTCTCTAGATTTTATCAGGCTTACTTCCTTCCTTCCTTCCTTCCTTCCTTCCTTCCTTCCTTCCTTCCTTCCAACAGCGAACTCCAGATCCAGATCTCATTGGGCCCATATAACGGTGGGCACTGCCGGACCTCAACCGCGAGCTCCAGATCTCACGGGGCACTGTCGGACATCAGCCGCGAGCGCTAGATCTCAGTGGGCGCTGGCCACTGAGATCTAGCGCTCGCGGTTGAGGTCCGGCAGTGCCCATGTCAGAGAGAATGTCAGAATAGATGCCAAATAGAACGCCAGAATAGAATATAATGTCAGATAGAATGCCAGAATAGAATGTCAGAAAATAAATGTCATATATACTTCCAGATGAGATGTCAGAAACTATGACAAAATCATTTGTCACGGTGGGGATCACTCGAAGTAAAGTAATTTTCTCCACATGTGGCAACATCTACGACATGAGTCTATTGCTGATTCGAACCTCCCGGAATTGGTCAAAATCTGGACACATCAGCCGTGCATGGTCTCATGGGCAACTTTCGGTTTCCATTCCAGGATGATTATGATTATATATTATGTATTATTATGTACTGTTACGTCATATGTGTTTGTGTATATATATATATATAATGTATTAATATTATGAATTTACATGATACATCATTATTGTTAATGTTTTTTCCATTCTTATAGCCATTATGATCCTTATTATATGTATCCATTAGATTATTGCATATTATTGCTAGTCTTGTTATTATTAGTGTTACTGTGATTGTTATTATCATTATCAGGATCATGCTCCAAGACACTTGCCCAGCATCCATCCATTTTCACCATCACCATTTAGCTTCAGTCAGTTTGCTCGCATAGGTGTAGAAAACCCACCATGAACGTAGATCGTTTTCCAACAGTTTCCCCAAGGGTCTTCCACATCTATGTGAACGTTTACTCCAAGGTAAGTTACATCATTGAACCACATTGAAGCAAGGTGTACTCGTCGTGAACCAAGGCGCTTGGTCTCCCTGTATCACATCAGTGAGCTCATCTCTCGATTCCAAGTCCTTCACCCTCAGTCGCTGACACCGCCGCAATTTTACATGGAACCCCATGGAACGGCGATATTCAATAAGAACATCCTCTTCCAAACTCTATTACTCTATTTCTTGCGGTTCCGGTTCCATGTTAAAATCAGGGGGTGTATGGGTCGTGGGGGCTGCCAACATATTTTTGGCCTCTGCCTCTTTAGGCACTTCCTCGACACAGGTCAGTAAAAAATGGGACCAAAAACCAACTCAATGATGACGAGTGACGAGTAAACAAAAGTTCCCAGCCGTCATTAAGTGGGATCAAATCGGCAGTTTTTGAAATGGCTGGGAACTTTCATGATCATTAAGTGGGATCATTAAGTGGGCTCAATCATATCATTAAGTGGGAAAACTGAGATATAGGAGATTTCAGCAACAAACATGAAGATTCAAGCCAAAACAAATATTTAGATTTCACCAGCACATTGAACCAGCCCAATACAATCACCAAAGCATGATAAGGACAGGGACATGATGACATGTTCCTGTGACAAACCCAAATGCCAAACTGGTTTCAATGGATTGATATTTACGGAACAACCTGCGTTGCTGCAGATTTTCCCAGCGATTCAGGGAGTTCTTGTTGTGATACCCAATCAATCACCTTATTAAGGTGAAATCCCCATATTCTTCAGTCTTCCTTTTAGATGTTTGATTGGTTAAGCACAACAACTTGGATGTGTGAACATCAAATCCCAAGCTCTGGGCCAGATCCTAATCCTTGTTGCCAAAGTTCCCAATTTCTACTGCTCAATTTCCCCATACTTCAGGCCTTCATAATCCCAATTGCTCACTCTCCACCAGTCGGACCTAGGCCTTGCCACTATGACTCACCATGGTGATTTCACCCCAACTTGGGATGTCGTGGCTATAAACATGCTTAAAGCTTATGCACAGATCTTCAGTTATATCCACTACCCTCTGGTAATTTAACGTAGCTATTGAAAATTGCCATTTATAGTGGATATACCCATTGAAAATGGTGGTTTTCCATAGCTATGTTAGTTTACCAGAGGGTAAATCACTAAGGTGACTCTTCATTATAAGTGGGTATATGATTATATGTCATCATGCCGATGAGTTATTATCCACTGACAAGTCGCCCAGGTCTAAATGTTACAACTTGATAGGGAAGCTTTAGTCATATGTTCACAATATGCCCACAATATGTTCATGATACTGTATCTTAATGATAGTTTAAGAATATTATTACTCCTCTCTGAATAAA